CCTGCTGAAGGACATTTCAATTTAACTTAGCTGTGTATGGGGTCCGATCATTCGGATTAGGAAGTTCTAGGTGGCTGGATTTGATGCTAGCCATGTCATGCTTTTATAAGCCATTGGCTATCCAAAACCACACTAGCCCAGTGTGCCAACTAGGCTTAGGGCACAGTTTTGACTGTTAATGCTCTAATGTTGCAGGTCATGTGAGATGTACCTAGGAAATGCATTTGTCTGGTGTAGCTAGATATTAATCATTTAAATGGATGATGGAACCCCTGCCAAGATGTAAATATGATCAAGTGTTACTGAGTTGGGAGGGTGCTAAAAGAGTAAGGTAGCACGTAGCAGTGCTGAAGTTGATCTAAAGTCTGGGGGCTCGGCAATTAATTAATGGTCTTTGTAGTTTTCTTTCTGCAATGTATAAGTGGGTTATGCATTTGAAATGGAAATGGTACGTGTTGTGTATCTGTCTTTGGAAATCTAATTAGGCCTGCATGCTGAAATTGATACAGTCAGCTCGCACTCCTCACCAAATGGGAACTGCATATGAATTATTCAGCATCAGCTTATCTGTTAAACCCCACTCCCTCTTGTGCTGTGTTAGGAGAAGTGCATTTAAATCCTAGGCTTTCTTCCAAAGCTTTAAAAGCATTTATCAGAACAAGTATACCCGAATCAGTATACATTGTATTTTCATATTGTGGATGTGTTTCTCTACTCAGCCATGCAAGATGGTACATAAGCCAGTGACATAAGCATGTGTTATTTATGAAAGAAGAGAGTAAGGATTGAATTCCTTAAGGGTGGGGCATTGCATTTCTATGTACAATCTGTGTGGACTAGTTCCTCCTTCAGTGCATGGTACTGGATTATCTAAGGGAAGAGAATATTTGAGGAACTATGGATGTTCAGATGATGGAGAATATGCACGAGTAAATCAGCTTAATGTCAGGGCACTTGGGATGGGGGGGAGTTCTGTTCAAACCAGAATGACATCCCAATATTAATATTAGCATAGTAAAAGTAATATTATTAATCTGATATTAATCCTTATGCTGTCAAAGATCCACCACTCCTGATTATTTGCCTTTACCAGCTCCATCAAAACTAGCTTGAACTTACTTCTGTTCTTTGCCACACCATTCATCAAGGTAAGAAATTCTTGTTTAGTTGGGGAGAAAGGTGTCCATTCTTGACTAGATGAATGTTAGGGTCGATGAAGTTGCCACTGCTATCTAATGAATCGGAGCTTCAAAGCTGTATATTCCTTATCTTCCTAAAGAACATTGGTTTCCCTCTTTCCAACTGATAAATACTGCAGTCTTGTCATCAGTTAACGTATACTATGGATTTCTACTAAACTGTCATCTTCTGTTACAGGAGAAGCAGAGACACCAGTGGATATGGAGACAATTAGCCTGGACCCAGAAGCAGAGGTAATTCCTGTTACACTCATGTGAATGCTATGTGTGTGTGGTTGGGGGAGGGAGGAGAGTAGGAAAAGGATGACCAATTCTGTGGCAACCTGTCTGATCTGGACAAAGGCAATGATTCTTCTGAAAGTGTTGACTGTTCCATTTTTCTCATACATTGGTTGAGTTTAAAGATTAGATGTAAAGAGAAATTCTTAATTGGTAGCTGAATTTTTTTTTTGTGACAACTTGGGATAAACATGGAGCCATTTTCAGGCAGAGACAGAGCATAAACAGTTAAAAGCAACAGGATTTAAGCCTTTCTTTTAGATCTCTTTAAGGACCCTGTTTCTGTTGCAAAATATAGTGCTGTCAACAAGTGTAGGTAGCTACTCAGCTAGCTTGCAATATAGATAAATTGTGCAAGACTGCTAATAGGGAGATTAGCTGAACCTTGGCAGGTGTTCAATTTCATTTGTTTTTATGGCTTACTCTTAAAAACTGAACAGCTGGAGCTAGGCAGAGCAGATGGTAAATGCATTTGCTCTTCACTAGTGTGGACTAATGGTCACAAAGCCATCAAATAATTTGACACAGTTGATGGCTTAAGCTTCAGAGCTACATATCAAATAATTTGACACAGTTCATAGCTTAAGCTTCAGGGCTATATAGCAAAAAGTAAACCGGTAGGGTGGAGGCACCATGACAAAGTTGTGCAGAGCCTGGCTCTGGCCTATAGGATTAATACCTTACCTGCATAAGCTTAAAATGCACTCAGAAAAGCTTTTCCTTCACTTAAATAAAGAAAACACATGTAGGATGCTGTGACCTCTACACTGGTTACCAGCTTATATGTTTTCTGCTGCAGAAAGCCCTAAACTGCAGCTCCCCTTCATACTTAACTCACCTGCTAACCAGTTTTGCTAGCTGCTCAAGAGAGTGGTCTTAATGATATACACATTTTATGATCCAGTAGTCTCCTCCTTTGAAGCAAGGTGCAAGGCTGATCTTTGAAGACAGTGTATGAAGTATGCTTCCAACCCCACAACAGCCAGCAGTGAATCAGATTCTGTTTTCTTTCAGGATGTGGACCTGAACCATTTCCGAATTGGCAAGATTGAAGGATTTGAGGTGCTCAAAAAAGTGAAGGTAAAACTTGTAAGGCCTAGTTAGCATCAGGAGCAATATAATACCTCTAGGGGTTTAGAACCTTACTTAACAGTTCCTTATACTGTGTTGCATATGAATCCTTCTCTGGCTGGGAACCTGTGGAGATTCTAATGTGAAGAAAGTAATATTGCCCCTCTGCTGAGCAGTAGCAGATGATATACTATCGTAAATCATTCCAGTTGCTGAGGAGAGTTCAGCAACATGGAGTTGACTGGATTTAGACAAGTTCAGCTTGCTTATTTAGTAGGTCTGTGTAAAATTTCGGAGGTGTTTCAGGCTGTTTTGGCACCCAAAACACTGAATACAAAAAGAAACGGAAGACTCCAAAACGTTTTGGAAATGTTTCGGAGAATTTTGGAGTTTCAGAGCCAGACTTGCAGGGAAATGAAAACTAAGAAAAGGGAGGGGGAAGAGAGTGGGAAGCACTGCTCTGATATTGACATCTAGCTCTCTGATCGCTTTCCCCAGCTCTTCCCGGGGGGCGTGGGCCCTGGGATCTGTATGCGGGGCTTCAGCAGGCACAGCCCGTGCCGAGGGTCGGGAAGACTGCAGTGCTGCCACTGGCCCCAGCCTGCAGCAGCAGCCTGCTGAAACCTGGTGCACAGATCCAGGGACCTGCGCCCCCCAAGAGCTGGGGAATCGAACTAAGAGCTGGGGAAATGTTCAAGAGCTGGGGGGGAGCGGGTTGATCCCCACTGCCCTGCGTCGTGTTGGGGAGTCTCTGCCAAGAGACCCCAGAGGCCCCAATCATTGCTGCTGCAGCCGGTGAGTGCGGGGCTTTTTTTCTTTTTAAAGCTCCGCACTCATCAGCTGCGGAGCATGCAGATGACAGCATGCTACCGCTGCTGGCTAGGGTCAGCGCCAGCACACGTCTCTCTGGCACAGCCTGTGCTGAGCACCAGGAAGAGCCCAGCGCTGGCCCCAGCTGGCAGCAGCAACCTGCTGTCAATTCACACACAGATCCAGGGGTCTGCGCCCCCTGGAAGAGCTGTGGGGCTGTGCCAGACTCTTCCTGGGGGGCGTGGGCCCCTGGGTCTGCACACGGGATGACAGCATGCTGCCACTGCCAGCAAGTGATACTAGTTTTGCTTTGAACAGTTTGAGGTGCAGTTTCACAAAAAACTTTTCCAGTTTCACAAACAACCTTGCACCTATATCATTGAAACTTGGCAGGCTTCATGCCCTCAGAAGGGGCTACCATCCCTGCAATGTTCATCTGAATCAGCCAAGGAATGACAAAGTTATAGACATTTTAGTGATTCCCCATTATAGCCTATGGCCAAAACTCCAAAACAGATTCAGCCGAATCGAAATGGGACAGTGATCTGAAACACCAAAACGAATCACTGTCCCTCCAAAATGCCAAATCTGAAACCAAAACAAAACAACCATTTTGCACAGCCCTATTATTTACACTTGCCCAGTACTTAGGAATACAGATGCAGGCAATTCCTTTCAGGGATTCAGCCAGATACCATTGCCTGGTTCCCAGAGAGTGCCTTTCTTGGGTTCTGATTAGAATTGACTCTTGAGACAGGGCAAATTCTTGTGCTGCTGAAACCGTTCCCTCTCTACACAGATAGGGGTGCACCGATAGAGATTTTTGGGGCCGATACCAATAGCTGATATATAAGGAGGCATACTGACCAATACTGATCCGATATCTGATACAGCTGCTATCAGCTGGTAAGTCTGTTGTGGTGGAAGGGGAGGGAAGAGGTGTGGGGGTGCAGAGCAACGCCTTTGCGGTGATTGAGGGGGCAGAGGCAGGAACAAGCATTGCCCAGCCAGGGCAGGGCAGGCATGGGACAGTTGGGGCTCAGGGGAGGGGGTGGCTCCTGCTGCTCCTTGCACCCTGGGAGGGCGGGGGGCCAGATCTGCGTGGCACAGGGTGGGCTGCAGCTGCAGGGTGGAACTGGAGCCAGCGCTGCACAGCTCTTCTCACTGGGCTTGGAGCGGGCTCCAGCTGCACTGGGAAGAGGCTGCAGCCACCTCAGATTTTGCTGCAGCTCTGCTTCGAGCCCCGTGCCACCACCAAGTGCAGCCCCAGCTGAATGCCCACCTCCATCCAAGCACCGGGAAAAGCCATGGATGCACTGGGCAGTGGTGCGGGGCTGGGAGTGGAGTTGCGGCAAAATTTGGGGTGGCTGCAGGCTACTCATAGCGCCTGGTGAGTAGAGATGCACAGCTCTGGCTCCGGCTCCACAGCTCCAGCTTGCCCCGCCCCCCACAGACGTGGCTCCGTCCCACACCTGCCCCGCCCTGGCTGGGCAGCACCTGTGCCTGCCTCTACCCCTGCCCCTTCCCTCATCACAGGGGCATTGATCTGCCCTCCCACATCCCTTCCCTTCCCCCTCCCCTTCTCACTTACCAGCTGGAGGCAGCTCTCCACACTGCCAGCTCTGCTCCGTGCTGTGCTGCATGGGCATTTATCAGCCAAATTATCGGCCCCGTCGGGCCAATATCCAACACAGACAATTTTCTTTGTATTGGTACTGATCCGATATCAGACCGATTATATCAGTGCACCTCTATACATAGACTTGTGTAAAGACAGACTAATACTACTACAGATACTTTTTCCAAGTTTTAATATTTATTAAGGGAAAAAGATTGAAAGATTATGGTCATGGGCAAACTAACAAGACAAGGCTGTCTTAAGCCCCACCCTCCTTTGCTTCACAGCAAATTGTTCCATGTTCATGCCCTGTGTTTAATACTGCTGCCCAGTGGTATCTGCCATAACAGTAGTGTTCTAGGGCCGTGGTGCTCAACACCTAGCCCATGGGCCAGATCCAGCCTGTGGTGCTGTGCCTCCTGGCCTGCGGGGCTCCCCATGGACGCATCGGGAGCCCTAGGCCCTGTACACTGGATCCAGTGCCTAATCTCAGCGTGCAGGGCTAGGCGGGGGCAGTGCTGGGCCCCAACACTTAATTCGGCTGTGGGGGCAGTGCCAGACCCCCGTGGCCTTGTCCCTGTACGCAGGAGTGAGGGGGGAGCCTGTAAAATTCTGTAGGAAAATGTACCAAACAAATATGTACTTTTTACAGCGCAATAAGAGTTCTGTCTGATGTCCATGAAGTCAGACTTGCCTGTCCTTACTCTGTAAGTCAGTGACATAGTAAAATCCTTTAAACCAGGGGTTGGTGACCTTTTAGGAGCAGTGGGCCAAATTAATAGGTCCAGGTCATAACAGAGGATGCCACTTCTCTCCCTTGCCATTGCCATCCCTAGCTGCCAACAGCCCAGCTTCATGGGCCAGATAGAATTGCTTGGTGAGCCAGATCTGACCTTTAAGGTGTAGGTTGCTGACTCCTGTTTTAAATGAGCTAATAGAAACCAGGCTTCCTTATCTGTGTCAAATTGTTCCCTCAGCTCTGAATCCTGCAATCCTAGAAGCCATGGCCTAAATTTCCATCAGCTTGTGGTGTTAGTTAATTGGGTGGCCGTGGTATCTGTTCCATGTGCTCTTTTTTTAACATCATATTTGGAATAGACCTGCTTCCTACAAGAGCAGAAGAAGCAGATATTTCCTCCTTTTTGTGGTAACATGGGTGCACTCTGAAAAGTAACATGATAGTTGTTGGAAGAGTGGGCCCATGCCCTGGCATTCACAGATGCATATTTTTCTTGCAAGCTTGTTTTTAATGATGTTGTTTTATGATAATTTCTTCCCAACTCTCAGATTCTGTGTCTGCGTCAGAATCTGATTAAGCACATTGCGAATCTGGAACAGTTGCAGACTCTCCGAGAGCTGGATCTCTACGACAATCAGATTCGAAAGATTGAGAACTTGGAGTCCTTAACAGAGCTTGAGTGAGTATCCAGTTAAGGTGGCATACCAAGGTTGGGTGAAGAATTAACAAGGTTGCGAGTCCACAGGCTTCCTGCAAAGCGGCTTCCTGGCAACACGCATCCATTGAGAGACCCTTTTTTTAGAACTGAAAACTGAATGACACATGTTGTGCCTACTTTGCTTTTGGTTTTCTGTGGTGGTCCACTTGGGTGCTACAACTGTAGAACAACTGGTGTTCTTTAAGGTAATTTAGTTCCTGCCAGAACATGGCTTCATTGTTCAAGAGTCTGTTGATGGCATGCAACAACTTATGGTTTGAACCAGGAGCACCATGCATAGGCTACTGGATTATTGCACAGCTGCAGTGACCTTCAACATCATGCACGCACAGCTTAACCTTCCCTTGCTCTGTAGTGACAACCAGTATTATCTACTATTTGCATTATAGAACCAGCTAAAGGCTTTTAGTCAGATGAAGGCCCCCCTGTGCAAACACAGAGATCCTGCCCTGAACTGCTGCTCATCTAATTAAGGCGGAGGAGGAGAGGAGTAGCATCCCCATTTTCCATGACTTGCCCAAGGTCATGTTGGAAGTCCACGACAGGAAATTTAACTCAGTTCTTCAGAGTCCCCATCCAGAGTCTAAACTGCAAGCCCAGCATTTCTCTCCAAGTCTGAGTTCTGCTCTATTTTCCTGGCCAGAGTAGGCAGGGCCTTACAAGAAGCAATGCATTTTTGGGGTAGTGAAGATCTGCTTCATTAAACCTGAGTGTAAAACCCTCCTCTAGTAGTGACTGTGCAGTGTTTTAGGGGAGGCCTTGGTCTGACTTGTTCAGGGAGAATTCTCACAGGTGTGCTGGGTCAGGAAAGGCATGCCAGAATAGCACTTTTCAAATCAGAGGCTGAAAACTGTCCTGTCCTCATAGTTGGGTTGGATTTGAGTGGTGATGTGACAGTGGAGAAAAGTGGTGCCAGTTGATGTAGGTCAGTGTCTTTTACATCCCGTGGGATTTTTTTAAAGTCTGTATTGACTGGACAAGCACTTGGCTGGGGTCATATGACCCCAGCGCTCTTTCCTGCCCAGGGTAAGGGGGCCGGACTCGATGATCTATTGAGGTCCCTTCTGACCCTAACGGCTATAAAACTATGACTCTTATGTGATAAAATGAATGCTATTTCTGACTGTTACCCAGTTGCCAACAAAGTGGTTTGGCTCCCCAGCAAATACATTTTGTTGAGGTTGTTGCCCAAGTTCCCTTTCTTTGGTCTCCCTTCAACTTTTGCCCTGGATTGAGGAGACATTTGTTTGCTTTTTCCATGCCAGGATCCTGGACATCTCATTTAACATACTGCGATGCATTGAAGGACTAGACCGACTCACCCAACTAAAAAAGCTGTTCCTTGTCAACAATAAAATCAGCAAAATTGAGAACCTGAGCAGCCTACAGCAATTACAGATGTTAGAGTTGGGATCCAATCGAATCCGGGTGGGTAGCAAGCATGTTGTTTGTTTTGCCTTGCTGTCTTCATCTAGTTTGTGGTAGGATGGTAAGGATCTGGTAATATCTGGCTAGATGCAGCTGAGAGAGCTGCATGTGGAAGGGGCAGATGTGCACTCATTGTCTGGAGAAAAAGGGGGATAGTTGTAATATCTGCTTCTGCAATAGGTGGAAAGATTTGAGAGGACTGAATTAATTCCAGGCCCTATGTCATTGTCCACTTGCTTGTCGGAGGTTGATCAGCTCTGTCTCCAGGTGTGGGGTCATTCTCCATCCTGCAGAAGAGGTAACTGCTCCTGTCTTCAGTCTTGGTTTGGATAAGAGACTGGAAAGTTCTGCTGCATGTAAACTGTCTTGAAGCAATGTTTTGAAATGGCTTTATCAGTTTTAGACTGCAGTGAATGTATACAAGTAAGATAGCAGAACAGACTAGTGTAGTTCACTTATCGGCTTTTTATGTCTTTTACTGTGAACCTAATTTGGAGGCCCCTGTGTCCAGCCGATATAATGCCTAACTGACATAGACGTCCACAATGCTTCTTTAAAATCTTATCTTCAATGAGCCTTTTTGTCCCTTAAAGGGCAGCACACATTGGGAAAAGATTATGGGAATGTTGTTTGATTCCATCTCTGTAAGGAGTTCATGATGATCCAGGGTAGTCCTCATGACTTGTGGAAAGCTCTAAAATGACAATGATGGGTAGACAAAACTCAGCTGTAGTTATCTCTTACCCTCTTCACACTCCTAAGGAAGGGATTTGGTCATCTTGGTGTGTGCTTAATTAAAATTTAGGATTAGGTAGTTGAACCTGGGTTGAGGCCAACACATAGACAATCCTGGTGTTTGGGTGGGTCAGAGAGGAAATCTGAAGTGTCTTCCTCTTTCTGAGGTTCAAGTTAATGGGGCTGTTGGAGGTCTGCAGATACAAGGAATGCACCTGCATAGTCATAAGGCTGGTGTTTTCTCTCTTGGCCTCATATCCGTGAAGTTTGGCCCCTTAAAGGTTCAGGTTCAGCTCATTGGTTTTATTTGTAGTTTTATGTTATAATTGCATGCTCTTAATCCATGTTAAGTGTAATTGTGTTCTGGAGTCTTTAGCACAGTGTGTGTGCCTATGTATGTGTAGTGCCCATTTGCTGAATAACTGTTAGTTCTGCTCTTTAATGACTCCACAAATCTCCATGTGTTCGGAAAGGCAAAAAATATGCTCCCCCAGCTGACGCTTTCCTTCTGATGTGCACAAGAAAAGCCTCTAAACCAGTCAGGCAGATTCATATGTCTTTCTTTCTGGAGGCAGGCACTGTGCTCAGGTATCCATGTTTCTGTTCTATAATCTAATTCAGTTTATATCTGTTCTCATTTCTAGTTTATCCTGCAGTCCATGATTTGGTAAACTATAGTGAGAATCAGTCATGAAAGAGACTCTCTGTTTTATAACCTGAAACAGATGTAAAAACATTCACATCATGCTATTAATTTTCTGCTTTCAACCAGGTTTGGGATTTTTTTTGTTTAACCCATGTGGTTTTCCTGACCTTAGGGCTTACTGTTAATTGAAATCTGGACAATTTCAAGAAAGCCAAGTACTCTTTCCACTTCCTAGTGATGCATCCTCACCTGCTGCTCTGTGAAAGATCCACCTGTTAACAAGGAAACTGGAATTTATGGAAGTTCTGTCACATGCACAAGGCAAACAATATGAAATAGCAAGACTTTCTCTCATCTAGCAATTATAGGAGCCTTCCTAAGTACCTGTATCAATAATACGTAGAGAAACTTCAGACTAAAGAGGGATATGCAAGTTGACAGTATCCCTCTAACCCAGCTTCTTCTGCAAATCAGCTGCTGTGCTAAAGGGTGCAAATGAAAATGGAGTTACTGATAGACTTTTGCATCATAAGCTCTGTAGTAGCACACTTTTCTTCAGGTAACTGGGTACTATACACATCTCCCCACCTTGTAGTCTGTCTTTGACTGAACACAAGAGCATTGTGCTTCCTTTTAAAGTGGATATATTTGTCTTCAGCACTGAAGCAGAGCCCAGGATCTTCCCTTTGGGGAATAATTCCATAGCTTGGGAGCTTCAGTCAGCATTATGATTGATGATCTTTGACTTTGCTTAGACAGGGAAAGATTATGTCCACAGGACACCTAGAAAGAAAGATCCATTCTTGTTATAGAGGCAAAAATCCAGCAAGCTGAATATACATGTATGTAGGGATCTAATCTAGGTTTGGTAGGTAGATAAATGGAGGTTATATCCCATATCCATGTCTGTTTGTCTTCTACTACCTAGGAATTCTTTAAGTGACTGAGGGCAAGTATAAGGAAGTGATTGAAGGCAACTAAAACCTTTTAGTAGCTTTTTGTTTGCAGTCTAACTTGAGGTATGTGCTTTACAGCTAGACAGATCCCTAATGTAAATGTAAGTGTTGAAGGCATATGGTCCTCTGAACTTTCTCTTTTTAACAGGGCCTTCTCTATATTTTGCTTGGAAATGGGGATTTGCTGACACGCTAACACAACATCATACATTAGAGCTAAAACATGAGCCCTGGAACTAGCAAAGAGACTAATACAGTCTTGACTTCTGGTGTAGAGTTCATAACTTTTTGGAGGCGCAAGTAAAATTGTGTTCAGTCTGTCCGTATTATGGTAAAAATGGACAGGAAGTTTTTTGCTTGCACTGGTAAATCTTCACATTGAATCTTATAAGTTAGAAGTAAAAGGATCATAAAGCATATGTCTGTATTAACTTAATTTCCCAGCTCAGGTCACATCTACATCTGTTTCATAATATTCTTGTTAGAATATAGCAACTCATTGATTCTCTCTCATTGCTTTAAGCAGATGAATTTTATTTGTTTGGTTGTTGGTTCTCACTTTTCCCTAAGTCCTAAGTATGGTCTTCCCCGTTGCTACAGCAGGAGCTGCCAGTGATGGACAAAGCTGGCACCTCTCACTGCTGCCTGCACCTGGTGAACTGTACTGAAGTAGGCTATTTAAAACATCCCTGAATCTAGCAGTGGCTTTCCTGTAGAACCTGTTCATCAAAAAAGTCAATCCCCACCTCCCTACTCTTTAAAGGATTCCCTTCACCTCCCCTCTTTCATGGTCTTCTCTCTGCTATTCTTGCTGTTTTTGCTTTGCAGGAGGGGGCTGGACACACCTATCTTTGGAAACAAAGTGTGTGCTTCATTTTGTCACCCACGGGGAGATCTTCACTCCCTGCCATCTAGGGCTGAGGACAAGTTCTGCACTTAAATCACAGTGCCACAGGTGGTACTTGTAGTGGTAAGGCTTAGCATCTACACGGCATCTCTGTCATACAGGAGTATTTAAGGTAGAAGAGCATTATTGCTACTCATAGTAGGGGAACTGGGGCACAGAGAGAGTTCTGCCCGCACAGTCACTGGCAGGATTAGGATTTGGGAGTTCCTGTCTCTTCCCCTACTGAATTCTCTCTCCTAGACCATGCTGCTACTTATACTGCTCTTGGCCCAGGAAACAGGCTCCCCCTTGGATGTTTCTGCAACGCGCAGAAATTTACGAGCTTGTGACTCTCCAGAGCAGAGCAATGGCTGAGAGCTGTAGCAGTCCTTGCTATAACATGTTCTTTACAATGCCAAACACCATAGTTTCCAACATCCTTTCTTTTAAAACTGATTTCCATTCTTGTTGCAGGCAAGTGGAGCCAGTCCAATATGTTTGTCTCCTGAAGTCGTTTATTGCATTAACAAAGTGCATTTTCTAAATGCATTCTGCTCTCTGTTTGCTCTTCGTGAGCTGGGATAATGGCTTCTCCATTCTGACGAATTGCCCATCAGACTTAAGTTTCTTTGGGAGTTATAAAGAGTAATGTGAACTTCAACAGAAAAAATGCATCTCTCTATAGACCATCTGCCCTTTCCCCAGGTGAGGGTGCCAACTCTACTAATGTTTCTGATGTCTCGGGTTGCTTGTCTGCACACTCCAAGGTGGAATACATCTCAGTCCCTGGGTATGAGTTTTCCGATTTGAATAATTATCATTTTACAACTCCACAGATCCAGAAGAATGGAACATGTGTGTGGAATAGGAAACTTGTTTGCTGGCTCTGTATCTTCCATCCTCAATTTTCTCTTTTAAAGCAGATCTCTAGTGGTGTTTAGGCTGGGGTTGTATTGGTACCTGAATTGGTAACATTGCCTCCTCTGGTTGTTTTACAGGCAATTGAAAATATTGACACACTGACTAACCTGGACAGTCTGTTCCTGGGGAAGAACAAAATCACCAAGCTCCAGAACTTGGATGCACTGACAAACTTGACAGTGCTCAGTATACAGGTATTGGTCCTACTTGGGTCTTTCCATTCCACCTGCACAAAGGAAGACATGAATTGCTGCATGAGTTAAAACAGCACCTGCTTCAACAAGTCTGCACTTCTCTTGAGATATTTTTTTTATCCTAAGAACTCTGACATCCTCTGTGCTCAGTACCTTGTTTTATGTCCCTTGAAACTGGCCCTCTAGTCCATGCATCTAATGAGTGTCATGTTTTGGGGATGAGTGAAATACTTCTGCATTCCCTGCTGAAATTCTGTTTACAATTTTTTTTTAGTAATATTAGTAAATTATAACAGGTCAGGCTTCACAGCAGCAGTAGGCAGAGGATTAGTTTCTGCAGCATTATAAGGATTGTCTACTGGACTGTGCTAAATGAGGAGTTTACCCTTTCTGAACCAGTACTAAGTTTTATATTTTCAAATGTAGCGCTAATAAAATATTGGTTTGTGTACCTTATGGTCTTTTCCCCACTCCAAACATGGTATAATAACCATGTATGTTCTAGTCAGAGGGGCAACAGTCAGTTTGTAGATACAGAATGTTTAACTATGTATATCTTAATGGTACATATGATAGACGTGTAACAGCATGTATTGGGTGCATGTTTATAATCAGTGCAGCCTCCCTTCCATTGGTTTCATAAAATGGAAATCTAAAATGAGCAGTAATCCAGTCCTTGCTTAGTGTGCTAAAGAGTCCAAATGGAAGGTATTCATGTGGCTGCAACCGTTATAGGGAAGAGGAGAGTCGGGGACACTGGCTCATCTGGAATTTACAAATGTCAGTTCAGAACCAAGCCCTTCCTCTCCACATGGCTTTTTCTTTCCATCTGCATTATCCAAATCACAGATGGCCAACCTATTGCACCCTTGCTCCAAGTGGCACTGGCAACCTCTGTGTGTGGCTTGTAGCAGATTGGGGAGGGGGCAGGGAACAGAAAGCAGAGCAGTGGATCAGGCAGGGGAAGGGGATCAGAATAGCTCTCGGAGATGGCACAGGGCTTAATTTGTGGCATGTTTAACAAAAAGGGTTGGCCCTTGCTGAGTTATAGACTTCATAAACATGAGAATTTCAACAAACATAAGAACTTATGCTGGTTTCATTGGTTCTTCACTGGGTGACTCTTGCTTCTCTAACATTTTTCAGAGCAATCGCCTAACCAAGATTGAGGGTCTGCAGAACCTGGTGAACTTGCGTGAGCTGTATCTTAGCCACAATGGCGTAGAAGTCATTGAGGGACTGGAGAACAATGTGAGATTCTTGTTGTCTTTCATTCAGCTTCTTTCTTTAGGAGACCCATAGAAAGTTGAGCCTCTTGAAAAATCTTGGTTCCTTACCAACCATAATTTAAAAATAGCCTGGAAGGCTGAAACCTCTTTACTTCTGCTGGAGCACTTGTGTGCTAGTTGGAGTCAAGGGTGGACTGTTGGAAAGGGCCAGTTAAATTAATTGCCTTGAAACACCATGTAACAGCGTGGCTACTACCTACCTGGGTGGAAGGGATAGCTAGCTAAATTCTGGGTAAAAAGCAGAATTGTCAGCAATAAGTAGCCCATGAGTCTCTTTCAATAGAGGCATCAAGATGACTGCTGTTGTCTTGGGTCCATGGGGGCAGACCTTTCTTTGTGACTCTCTTAGTCACTTTAATTTCTGTATTTCTGGCTTGGATTGCTGTAGTGGACAAGCCCATAATGTGTGTTTTTGCCCGTTTACCGTCAGGTGGCACTGTGGAACAGGGGAATTGGGGATTTAGTTGATTCCCTGAAAATGCAAGACCAGAAATAAATCTGAAACTTGTGGGCTTCTTAGTGCAAAAAATTCCAGTTTTAAAGCTGGCCACATGAGAGGCTGCTTCGGTCACAATTTCAATAGATTCCCAAACTTTCTATTTGAAACATGCGATTCCTTATCTGAAGATGGGGGGTGTCAAACATATGACCCACAGGTTGGATCTAGCTTGCAGAATTGGGTCATCCAGCCTGCGGCCTTGATGGAAAAATGTCCTGCAGCAGCAGGCAAGCATCTGGGTGAGACTCACGGTGTTGGAGCCGCAGCAGAACCACGGGAAGAAGCCCAGCATTGTGGGTGCTTGGCTGCCACTGTGGGAACATGGTGCGGTCCTGGGCTTCTTCCTGCAATGCTGCTGGGGCTCTTGCCCAGGGGCTTGGCTACCCCCATGAGAAGAGACCATGTTGCTTCTGGGACTCCAGTGCTACAGCTCTCATGGACTTGACTACCAAGCATCTGGGCAAGAGCAGTGGGGCTGGAGTTCTATCAGTCCAGCTACTGTGGGAAGAAGCCCAGCACTGCCACCTGTTTCCATGGCTGCAATCAAGTGCCCATGCTGCTGGGCTTCTTCCTGGGGTCCTGGACTGGCCACAGCAGGCATTAGCTTGATCCAGCATGGAGGGAAAAGGGTCTGTACACCCAGTCTGCCCTGCAAAGCCAGCTTCATGCCATCCATCCTTCTTGTGGTCTGGTCCCACATCATTGTTCTGGTCTATGGGGCCAGGCAAGTTTGATACCCCTGTCTTAAGGTATTACAGGAAATGCTTGATCTTCAGGAGGAATTGGTTCATCTGGAATTATTGACCAAGTAGCAGTTGCCTTCATTTGTTTGACTTGGCTTCTAGGTACTTGAGAAGCTCTCATGTTAAGACTTATCTTCTCTGTTTAAAAAAAGTATCTTCTCGTATTGCATGTATAATCTCTGATATCCAGATGGTTCATAGCCCTAAACAGGGATCGGCAGCCTATGGCCCACAAAGGAATTTTATCTTGGTACAGTGGGTGGAATTGGGGCTACATGGTGGCAAGTCACAGGTGGTGGTTCACCTTTGATCAGGCTCCATTAATTCAGCCCAACACTGCTCGAATGCCCCTAACCCCTGGTCAAGGGCAATCCTGGCCCAATTAGCTGTTGTACAGTATAGGCATTCAAACAGCCCGCAGTGACATATTACTGGCTTCTAATATTTAGTCCTGGGATTCAAACGGGATAGAGGAGGAGGAGAAGAAAATCAATCTAAAGTTTTTATTTGCTTGCTTTAGAATAAACTTACAATGCTGGACATTGCATCCAATAGAATCAAAAAGATCGAAAATATCAGCCATCTAACAGAGCTCCAGGAATTCTGGGTAAGTGCAGGCCTTGTTGAAATTAATATCCATGCACAGATACTCATGTTGAAAGAAATCCCTTTTCTTGACAGGGAGTTTCAGGGAGGGTTTAAAAGACTGGGTTGTACATATCTTAGATTTTAGGTTCACCCCTCTGCAGATCTCAGTGGACTGTTCAAGTCCTCTCTTTACTCTGGTGACAAGGTTTTAAGGCCATCTTCCCCTAACTGCCCAGCTGAAGGGAAGTAATTACATTACCGTACATTAAATTAATTTTACAGTTTTTAGTGGTAGTACACCCATAATTCAGGCCCTTCTCTCTAAGGTAGAGATCCAGCTGGTGCAATCCTGACTGTGATGGTTATGAAATGCAGAGTCTAGCCTTGCCCTAGGGTGTTGCACAATTCCACTTTTCTGTACGTTAATGTGGCTGTGTAACAGGAAAAGTTGGTACAAGGGACTTTAGGGCAGTGGTGAGCCAAAGTCTGTTAAAAGTGCCAAGTCAGTCTGCTCTGTTCCTTGAAAACATTAGCTCTCTTTTGAGGTAGTTCCATTCCTGCAGGCTAGTTTAATAGGGAGCTGACTGTACTTTGTGGTATCCTGGACCATTAAGCCCTTCCTTTCCCCTTTTAGTCTAGTAGGAAGTACACAAAGGTTGAGCAGAGGAGCACACACAAGCCCCTGGATTCTCAGTATTACAGCATCCGTGTTGGAAGCTGTGTCACAGTCTGCACATTTGCCTAATAGCAGCAGGCCTTCCTAGGAAATCTCCAGCTCCCTAATGGAGGTACCCAAGACATCAGAGTTTTGATTAGTGCTTGCTCTAATTTAATCTTCCTTTGGAGCTTTTCACCATTGAAGCCTTTGGACTGGGGGTTGGCTTGCAGGACTGGAAAAATAGTTGGAAATGATATCAAGTAGGAGCCCAGTATCTTGGCTGCTTGTATTGTTCTCTTCCGGTCCTTGAATATGAGCTGGCAGACAGCATCAGTCAGACTTATGCTGCCATCTGGGCTCATTCATGCTAATGTGAGCTGCCTTTTATATATCAAGGAGCTTGGGCGCCCTGCCTAGTGTGACATCTTTAGTCCTGAAAGCATAGCAGTGCAGGTTGGCTTGGTGTGCAGTGTGGCCTGTCATTCCTCACAAGTTTCTGAAATCTTCCCATTGAACTGAAAGGGGAGAGTGGGAACATTCACCAGGCATTTTGCTCCCATAAGAAAGAGCTACTGCTCAAAGGAGGGAAGGAACCTAATTCTGTACGATTCTGACATTGCAAAGAGTCCATTGCTAGAGTAGGGAACAGTGTCTTGGTAAACCTCTGTTCAGACCTCAGTTCCTTTCTCCAGCACGTTCTCCAAAGTACCCTCCCACTTTACCCTTTCTTGAATTCCATTTCAACATGCCTGTATCCTTTGTGATGAAGAGAACAGGCCAGAATTCCCTTCAAAGCACATCAGCCTTGTTCCTACCTCAGTTACAGTTTTCCTGAATGTGGAGTGAAGCCTAATTTAATGAATTCCTGTACCTAAGAGACAGGATCCCAGACCTTGCCAGAGCTGTAAGCTGCAGGCATATTATACATCAATTTGTTAGGTAGAGAAAAGTGGCAGACAGAAGCAGATCCAGGACTGTACAAAAGAGGGTGTGGAAGTAAGAACTGGCATTGTAAGGGTGGCTGCATCCCCAGCCTCTGTCGTCATCTCATCCCTCCCCCCCAGCCTTTGTCACTGGGGTAGGCAGACCATACCATGGGAGCTGCAGGTGGAGACTCTTTAAAAGTCCTCAAAACAAGTAAAAATTCCTTCTCCTTGCTCAGAGGCCTGTCTGTCCCCCGTCCCCCCCCTTCCTCCTGATGCCACTGTCCTGGGGTGGAGGGGAGCTCTAGAGCTGCTGCAGCTAGGTTGCATGGGGTTTGGTCTCAGCAGCAGCAACAGTGGGCAGGTAGCTTCCACCTCCCTGTGCCTGCCCGCAGCTGGTGGGAAACACCCAAGGAGACCAGACAGGGAGAGGGAACCTGCCTGCCCATTGCTGCTACTGTTGTCCCAAGCTGAGCCCAGCCCCTGTACAGCCCAGCAGGAGCAGGACAGGAGCTCCCTTCACCCCTGGGACAGTGAGGACAACAGCAGGAGACAAGGGAGGAGATGGATGTGCCTCTGAGCAAGAAGGGGAAGGGAGGTGGGAAGGAATGCTCATCTTCGGGGAAAGTCTCCAGATGCTAAAAAAAGTCTCCAGAAGCTGCTCCTGCCCTGTGGTCAGAAAGGGATGTATGGCCATGCTGCTGCAGCCCCCTGGATCTGCCCTGTCTTACTGAGATCATTCATACAGTACTAACAACTTGGCAAGGTGGAGAAGAACTGGTCCTATATTAGATGGAGCTGAGAAAAGAACTGTGGTCGCCAGAGTCCCAGTTCTGTGCTGTATCACAAAACCAATCTTTACTGAAACACGGCCCCTCATGTTAGTGCAGTCTTCTTTCCCTGGGCTCCCTGAAAGAAGGCATCTCAAGGAAGCAGACTGTGAGGTTGGAGAAGAAACTGCAGTTTGGGGGGTTGCAGGGAATTCAGTGCAGTTGACTTGCTTACCTGAGATGAAGAGGAGCAGTGCCCTGCAGAAGGCCAGGTCCCATATCTTGAGATTGAGGATGTTGCTGCTATATTAATTTCATCTGAAGTTTCAGGCTCTGCTGCCAGGAGCAAAAGAGAAGTGAAGCCCTCATGTCCACGCTGAGAACAGTGGGGCCACATGGCATGCTCCTCATTTTTAGCTCCCGTACCACCCCTTCCCCCCTGGAATTCTGTTTGGATTCTGACCATGGGTGCAGTGCTGATGCTGTGTGGCATGCTTGCACCCTCACCCCTTTGCCAGCTCAGGGGCAGAACATTGCTTTACTGCAAACAGTTTGCAGTAATCTGCCAGGGCTCCCTGTGCTGTAGAAACCATCATGCTTTCTCACTGGAGTCTGTTTTGGTGAGCAGTATTTGAGAGAGCTGTCACAGATCAGTAAAGTTCTGTTGCAGTGCAGAGGTGTGGGCTTCAAGGCCCTTGCTTCTGGCTCCAATCGTATCTGAGCAGATAATAGATCAGTGGTTCTCAAACTTTTTGGACTCAAGGCACCACGCATTAGACTCAAGGTGACCCTCCATAACTTTTTAATTGAATGGCACCCAGTTAAAAAAAAAAAAAATTGTATATATTGTGGCGCTTACCTCCTTGCAGAGGGCCTGTGCAGCGGGATGGAGAATCATCTATGCAGGGGCAAGCCTGACCTTGTGCTTATCTCCTCACACCTTGCAGCACCCTTCAAAAGATCTGGTGGCACCCCCAGTTGCCCTGGCACCCTTTGTTGAGAATGACTGGCTTAGACAGTGTACAGGTTTGTGCCTCACCTTGTCAGGCAGGAGTACTCTTTTTGAAAATAATAATTTAATGGAGAAAGCCTGAAGCCCAGAGCTTCAGATTTTTTTTTTGATAATGGCTTTTGGGGACAAATTAAAGAATTAAAACCTAGGGATTAGATGTAGGAGGGTGGAGAAAAATCTTGAAGGAAGGGATTCAAGCCTGCAGAAGAACTGAATGCTACATGGAGTGAGATGGACAATCTGTGAACAAGGGCATTCTGCAGAGGCATTTCCATGGATCTTGCCCAGCTTCCCTGTTAGACAAGGTTTGTTTCACCTCTAGAGTACAGTCAGTAGCTAGTATTCCAAAGAGGGTTGTGATGGATGTTGAAGAATAGCTATGTTGTAGAAGAGTCAGCAGCAAGGTTTCCGAAGATCAAATAGTGTCAGGCCTTTTCAGCTGGGTTTCACCAGTCTGCTGTCACAGCCTATCATATCTGTCTCCCAGTTTTAGATAGCGGGTAGTGCCTTGTAGGCAACCTCTTGCTGTGCTCTCACTAATGAGGCTTTGCTGAGAGTGTTCGTGTGTGTGTGTGTGTGTGTGTGTATGTTTGTGTGTGCCCCACAGATGAATGATAATCTCATCGAGAGTTGGAGCGACCTGGACGAGCTGAAGGGAGCCAAGAATTTGGAAACTGTGTATCTGGAGAGAAACCCCCTGCAGAAGGACCCTCAGTACCGACGCAAAATCATGTTGGCCCTCCCTTCCGTCCGGCAGATTGATGCCACGTTTGTCCGGTTCTGAATCTTCCACTATCCTCCTTGCCTGCCTTCCTTGGAGAAATGTCCCAGCTGGGTTTTTTATCCACTTGCCACTCCCCAAGACTTCAGTACACTGACACTTACAGAGCAAATGGCCAATAAAAGCACTGAATACCAGGTCTTGTGTATAATGCACTCTCTTGTTGTTTTGGAAATATTATTACTATTATTAAATCTTAACACGTGACGTTTCCTGGTTGTGCTGGTGTCTGTTATTTCTATTGGACATCTTGTCAGCCAGCTTCTGCTTTCAGGCCAGAGCCTGGAGTTCCTTCAGTCTAAGCTAGCAGCTGACTTTGTATGTCAGAATCAGGTTCTCTCATTAATACCAGAAATGGGTATCTTTGCGTGAGTAATATCTGTTTGTAATGCCAGATTTAATAGTTCAGTTTCAGTCTGCTGTGCCAATATATTTAATGCAGCTTGAATAGGGCGTTCATTCGTTTGGTGGGGTAGATAGTCTGAAAAAGGGCACTGAATTAAGTTAACAGACCATACCTGATGCAGTGTTAAATGCTCTGACCCTTGTCCACATCCAAACTCTTTTAATGACATTTTTAATATCAGCGCTCATCTGCTAGAATATTAAAATTCTATTTTTAAATCTTCAATATAAAATGAGTCTTTTGAAATAAATTGTTGTGTCTGTGAAGTGTCGGCCCTTATGCAACCATGTGATATTATCAGTATTTTTTACATGTTACTATACACAAATGAAAAATGTGACTGAGATCTAACCCAGTGGTTAGGAAACTTGTTACAAGCTAGCGTCTGGCTTAGCATGGCAGGGTGGGGGGACTGTGGGTTGACTTGAAATCTAGAAGGCCTAAATCTAGAGGCTTTATTATTTTTGTTGGTGTGATTTGGTTAGCCATACAAGACAGATGGGCCATTCCTAGCATCTGCTAAAGTTGATGCATTCACAGATCTGACTCATGGGTGGTGTCCTGTTTCAAAATAGGGGGATCTTCAACATTCCCTCATTGAGGTGTTCAGACTGTCTCCCTTACTGTGATATTGAAATCTCAACCTTGTTAAGCAAAGACAGGAAGTAGAGTTTGGAAGGCACAATATTCTACGCTGTATTTTAGTTTCTTTCTGTGCAATTGGAAAGGCACATCGCTATCTTGTGTAGTTGTGATTTTACCATTAAACTTTTCTTCATTTGAGTAACTGTACAGAAAGAAAATGCTTTCCATATTCTGTAGAATCTTGGGTGTACCCATTGCTCCTGACTTAACATTGATATGTAATTCAGTCAGTGCTAAGGCCTTCACAGCACAGTGACCATCAGGAGGTCATCTAGACAACATTGAAGTAATTGGATCAAATGGACCTGTTGCTTCAAACAAAGTTGTGAAACATCCAACAGGAGCAAAGTTGTCGAGTTCCTGGTGCTGTTTTCCAGTCTGCCAGCTAAGTAGAAAGTCTCCTCACCTCGGTTTTGAGGTAGCGGGTGGCACTGTACATAATGTAGAACAGACTAAGACATATACTGATAAAACTCCCATCTCTCTGGGAGCCTTCCACGGCTTTTATCTGGTCCTGAGGAGTAGGTGATGTTTCTTTTTCTCACTGCTTTAATGCAATGTTCCATTTCTAGGGTTCTAATCTATTAGAGAATGGCTGGTAAATCCTACAGGTCCAGACATACAGATCTATCACCCCACAGGTTTTCCTTTCTCTTTTGTCTATAAATACAAGTGCACAGCTCAGTTCTGCTCTGAATCTCATAAAATTTTGTACTGGCTGAGGCATGATTCTTTCCTTAGCAAAACTGAGAAACCTGTTTTAAATCTTGTGCCCAGAACTTCCCTGGGTTGGAAGCGCTAAACCAAGGAATCTAGTCCAGGTGCCATGAGCCTGGATTGTAATCGTGATGATGATTATATGGTCCTAGAGGTAAGGTTTTGTAAATATAAGATGGTTAGGTACCTGCCTTGAAGGGCTTGCAATTTAGTTGATATTATATAATAGGAGGTGCCAGAAAAAACCTAATGGGTGCATGAATAGAGGTATGAGTGTTACCTTGAGGAAGTTCACAATACACACTAATTTTAATATACATATTTTGTATTTGACCACTGTTCTCTTTCCATGTTGCTGAGTAGAAGGACACATGGCTGGATGCAAGAAGACTCAGTACAGAAAAATCCAAGGACCCTTGATCTTATACATTTGCTTGTAAGCTCTTCAGGCAAGGAACCCTCCCTTACCATGCATGCAGTCAGCCCTGATGCAATGGGTCTCTGAACATTGTGCTGTACAAATAGATAGTGTCATCTAGGGGATTTATATTCCTCATTGCCACAGTGTCTGAACATCTCAAAAGCTATCAGGTGTTTACTTTTAGGTCCTCTCCCCATCCTGCAGTGAACAGCAGCATTTGCTTCCTCGTAAATCACCTGTGGTAGCCCTGTAGTTCTAGCATGTGGAAAGCATATCACTCCAGAGTCAAAATCTGCCACGACTTGCTACTGTGCAATACAAGTGAATCCCAGAGGGCTGTTTGGCTATCACTGAGATCTGAGTTGATGCCGACATGTTTTTACTTATCTGGAAACAGGATTTTCTGGTGCTCCGGAGGCTTTTTTTCTTTTCAAACCAGAGCCTGTAAAATAAAAATTGAAAGTAGGAAGACTATGCAGGTGAGTGTGGAGTTATCCAAGTTGGGGTTCAGCAACCTATGGCCCACAGGACAGGTCCAGCCCATACATTGATTTCAACTGGCCCACAAGGCCTAGAGTGCAATGGTAATTTGAAGGTGGGGGGAATTGGTAGCAGTGGGAGTGGTAACCAGGTCAGAAGCGGTGACCCACCTATAGAATGAACTGCGCTAATTTGGCCTGCTGATCCTAAAAAGTTGCCAGCTCCTGATCCAAGTGGTTGAGCCAAGCTGTGGAGTCTACCACAGACTCTGAACTTCTCCCAGTCTCCTATTCAGCAAGGTAAGAACTTGGTGCCAGTTCGAATGTCAGTATTTGCACTCGGAAAACATGAATCATGCCCTGGCTCCCATTAAATATAAAGAAGTGGCTTTGCCATTCCTGCACACCTATATTTATCCTTTTGAATGTCTAATCTGGTAAACTGAAGATAAATCTTGAGTGCCTCGAAGACCTACTGTGAAATTGGTTAGTTACCATCTGTTAATACACTTAAAAATATTTTTACAATAGCTTTCTCTCTTTCTCTCTCTCTCTCCAGTGAGCCCCAGAGGAGCAGTCACAACCTGAGGCAGGTTAGTGTGGATAATTCTAATTTATGCTAATAGATACAAAGCAAGATGGGAACAGCCTGTTCTGCAGTACAGTCCTGTGCCTACACAGGACATGTAAAATAGTCTTGTGTAAACACCTCTTTAACAGTGCTTCTATCTAGCCAGTCCCTGATGCATTTTTTTGAAAGAAGCATTGCTTTTTGAGCTCCCTGTATCCACAGCATGCATAGAAAATACACCAAGAAGATACGCTTTTTTAAAAGCCCTGTTTTATGGACAGAGGGTGATTATTTGTCCATATTTTTCTTTGTGGCCCTAATGTGACAGCAAATGAAAATTATAGTTGTGGTGGGGATTTTTCAGGCACCACCAGCCCGTTAGGACCTGGGTGAAGGCCACTAGTTCATTTTCCAAGGGCCATCAAACAAATCACATATTGACGTTCCAGTAATATCTCCGGTCATAGCCAAGGCCCTGTTGGGCGGGGCACTGAACAAGCACAGAATAGACCGGGGCGGGCAATTATTTTGGGTGGAGGGCCGCTTACTGAGTTTTGGCAAGCCATCAAGGGCTGCATGACAGGCAGCCAAGGGCAGATAAATATTTATTTTCTAATTTTTTTTATGGGTTTCGTGGGCCAGATAGAATGGCCTGGCGGGCCACATTTTGCCCACCCCTGGTTTAGGACAATGGTTCTCAACTTGTGGGAGTTGAGGTATCCCTCCTCTTTAACTTGCATGAATTGAATGGCATCCACTTTCATTAACTAATTCTAATTTATATATTACAGTGCTTACCTCCTTGCAGAGGGACTGGGCAGTGGCACCCTTTGAAAGATTTGGTGGCACTCCAGGGTGCAGTGTCACCCTAGTTGAGAATCACTGGTCTAGGAGACATTGTGGTGAAGGAAAGTTTTATAAGTAGGGATTTGAAGTAGGGTAATGAGGTACTTTTGGGAGCTGGGGGTGATGGGAAGCCTTTTCCACACCTGACAGGCATCTTGTTGCAAAAATGGAGAGAAAGTGTGAAGGTGATTGTCTGGAACTTTAACACTTCTGTTTAACACATTAGCAATGACTAGCTAACATTACCTTGACCTGGATTTGAATCTCAGACCAATGAATGGCTCTGTTCCGTCAACCAAATCACTCAGCTGTCCAGTTCTAATTAGCATGAGGTGGCTTGGTAACAAAAAACACATCTTGCTCTCTCCAGATAAGTGGCAAAAGACATTGGTGGAGCAACCTGGGGAAGCTATAGCATGTATTTTGAGGATAAAGGATTTGAGTGCTGCTAATATGGCATTGTGGGAGTCCTAATTCTCCTCAAGAGAAGCTTGGCATTTGATTTATAGCACTGCAGTGAAGCAAAATCGCAGATAAATACATCATTTGGATAGTGTGCAGCTGTTGCTTTGCTCTGTGAATCTCCCACCTGCCCTGTAGCACCTGCTGTTGTCCTGGATCAGCCCAGGCCAGGCTACCAGTAGTTGTGTGGTGATGCCTATGTGAGAATAAAGGTAAGAGGTCTCTAGTCACCTTCACTTATGACTAGAGTTGAAACACCCCTCTCCTGCAGCT